AGGGGGTAGGTTAGGATACTGATGTTTTTTCACCAAGACATACCCAGGATCTCCTGCGGTTGGTCGCTCATGTAAGTCACCTCTGGCTGGTTGCATCTGTCCGAGGACACCCTAATGCACTGAACTTTGTGCACTGAAACATAGGTTTGAGCTACTGGAATGATTTGTCTTCCCCTCCTGCACTGTCGTCCCTACCCTGTGTCCCTGCAAATATCAAGAAAATTGGAGGTAACCAGGGAAGTGTAATTTTCGGTGATTTAATTTACTGCTAAATTATAATTTAAAGGGGTAAATTGGATTATTTTAATTCATGAAAAGTTTACGTTGAATGCTTTTTCCAGCATAAAAGTATATTGCAGTATTGTACAGGCTCAAGTCAATGAATAAGGGAAAACTAAAACTTATTTTATATTCTGTAGTAGAATGTGATATGGTACATTGGGTTGGGGAAAGCGGCTGTTTATTTTTTGTAGAGCATGGATGTAAGAATCTTGGATTCGTCCAGTGAGTGAGATTGAATATTGCTGTCTCAGTCCACTGCAGTTTCTACCCGGGTGGTCGATTCCACTGCAACATATTTTACCCCATTTGAAAATTTGGTCCCATTGTCTGCCATCTTCACTTCAGTATGACAGGTAAATTTGGTGTACTGTGTAGAACTCTTCTTTATATTGGCTGGTGTTTTGTAAGTTTCTGTAAAGTATTCGGCTAAATGCTGTACATCACTATGGAAATTATTAAAAAAAAAAGTATAATCGATACAGTATTTAAATATACTTGAATAAAGGAAAGGAACATGTTCAACTTGTTGCTTGTCATTAAGTTGTGTAATGTAGTTTAAAATGCCAGAGGGTTTGGGATAGGAGCAAAGATTTTTTTCAGTAGGCATTACCTGCAGCCGTTATCAGGTCACAGATTGGAGTTGCATCATTTTCGCTCTGTACTGTATGTGCTGACTAGTTGAATTGGAGCCGACACAGTTCCTCCTCGTCCCCAATTATTTTTTAAACTTGAAGGAGCCCATCTACAAGAGATAGTACTGTACTCCAGCGGTGAAGGTAACACATTTGTTGAGAATCTGTAATGCCAAAAATATATAAAAAAAATTTTCAACCAGTCATTTAGAACATTCTCTTAGGCCCCAATCCACGTTTCTTGAAATTATCACTGTAATAATGTACTGTACAGCGGTATTTTGAATTGGATCAGTTTGAATGCTACCTGATTTATTTAGGTATATGAAATTACAAGGAATGATGGAAGTTCCATGTTGCTGTTAATTTCAGTCACCCTGCACTATGTGGGAAAAAGACTTGTAAAGAAAAAAGATTGCAGAATCGTCCTTTATTTTAGTTAGGAAAAATCATTCTGATTTTACCATATTTGTCTGTGGAATGGAGCATTGTGACTCCTTCATAAATGTGTGAAAAGTTAGCTCTCAGACTGGTATCCCTGTTAAGGGAAATTTCAATATCATGCACCCAAATCAAAGGGGTAAATACAGTAATGTAATTTGTTAACTTAGTTTAGACAAGGTTTGTCTGTTGGTTTAAAGAGGATCTAAATGACTGGATAGGAAATTTTGCTTGAGCAAAGTAACGTGAATTTGTAATAACACTTGTACCTGGTAAGCATTAGCTCTCTTTTTAATTACCAGAAGTATTTTTACTGGATTGAACCAACTGGGAGACACAAACTCAAATGACATAATAGCTTACCAACTGCTAGCAACTCTTAAATTGAACAGAAGTAATTATGGAAAAATTTTAGTATTGGTGTTTCCTTATACTGTACAGTATTGTGGCAACTGAATTGTGCGTATTCATTTTGATTACGAAAATCTTTTTAAACAACATCTGAGAAATTAAATTCTCACTTTCAACTAGAATATCAAGATTTATGAAGTGTTAAAGTTAAGGGGACACTTGTCTGGTATTTTGGGGGTGGGTGGGGGTTAATGACCCCCATCATTTATTTATATATAGATTGTTGACCATCGCTTTCCCTGGGAAGTCTGTGGAATGCAGAGGGTCCAACAGAGGTGAAACCACCTTGAAATTTTTCTGATTGAACGTTTACGTCTGGCCAACAATACCCGTAAGTCTCCAGAACAGAACACCATCCAATAAGTGTTGCAGGAATTCAACAAACAGGTAAAAATGCGATTTGTACTGTCATTGGCTTTTGATGCTGATGTTGCATGATTTGTTAAATAGTATAATCCTACTTCGTTATCTATTTTTCAAGTTGTTAATATCGTTTGGAAAACACTACAGTATATGTGCATTGAATTGTATAGTAAAACTGAAGATAATGTAGAAAATCTTTTGATAAAGAAAAAGGAAATGGCTTATGGGTTGGGGCATGGGAAATTACTTGTTTAATTGGCAGTGGATTTTGGTGTGCTGCTATCAAACATCAAGAAGCTGACTTGTGATGTTGCATGATGAATGAACAGTAACCTAGAGTCCCAGATGAAGGTACAGTCTCATTTCTTCAATCCCCATACCAAGGATCCACCCCATTAGATTTTTTAATCCCTTCACAACATAAAGGTATTTCAGTGTTATCTATGGTTTTGAAGAATTATGCTTTCTATCTCTCTTGTAAACAAATTAATTTCATTATTTTTTTTAATTTATCTGCAATATAGTAATCTTAAATTTAAAAAGATAAGAAACTTTGTTTGCTGGGAGTTTTGGGGGAGGGGGTTATCATTTGCAAAGTTTTTCCTGTTAAAGAATTCTACACATTGGTTTGGGGAGTGAGACGGTCTTGACACCAGAATGGAGCAGGTTTGCTTTGGGAAGCAAACCAAGTTTTGAGAACAGAATGGAGCAGAATTGGCTTTCTCACAGAGGACACAAGGTATTTGTGACAACTTGATATTCTTTTGAAGTCTCTGCTGGAGTTTCTTTAGAAAAAATATGAATAGAATATGCATTAACAGTGATTCGGCATTGATATAACATAAACTAAGAACAATGTCTGATCATTTTATTCTTCATACTTTATGTAATACTTCTCAGCCAACTCATACTTGCTATAGTGCAACCAATGGCTCCATTTATCTCGCATCATATGAAGACTGCACACAGGTATCCATATTTTGTAAGTACAGTAAGTAAGAGAGAAGTCAAACACTTACTGTATATAAATTCTCTGTAAACTACAGCCAGTAGTAGCTTAATTTTTCATTAGAATCTCGAGCCTTTTATCATTAGCTTTTCCGAGATTCTCGGTAACTTGGGTGCATTAACAATAATGTTGTTCAATAACACAATGAAGGATTTTCTTAAATCATTATACAGTACTTACCATCAATCAGTATTGGCTAAAATAAGTGAAAAAATTGTTGTTTGGGGATAGAAGTATTGTTAATTATGGAGCTGGGGTGGGTGAGGGACAATAACATTTGTTCAGACTCTTTGAACAGAAGCGGTCAACATCAAAAATATACTTGTCATTATTTGGTGAGGCTGCTCTTCCAAAGCTACAATCGGGAACTCCACGTGATCAAGTCTAATAAGACGGCACTGCACTGCTATAGCTGTGATAGGCACACGGTGTAATTCAGTAAGTTTCATTCCTGTAACAGCGTTATGTTTTTATACCTTTATGTAATTTTGTAGGTAGTTAATTATCTCTTAAAGCATTGTGTGATTTAATCCTTTGTGGGAGGCTGATACTTTATGAGATGTAATTTCAAGGCAGTTGTGGAGTCTGCTTAGCCCCACTCTAAACAGTTATGGTTTACATTGCACATGGCACTTGTACAGTACAGTACTACGTTTTAATTGCATGACCTTAAAATTTTTACTGTGCATCATAGCTTACTATGTGGTTACTTAACTGTAGATGTAATTTAATCGCTCTCCAGAACATTTTTGTTTTAAATCTTTAAAAGTATATATAGTATTCTTATCTGTAACACAGAATTGGTTGCATTGGGTGCAATTTAGTAAAGGCTTAACTGGGATTAGTACTGTACCATGGGTTGGGGGGGGGTAACTTATTCCTCTTCTGCTATATACGGCAGCATGATCTTCTGTGGTGACAACTGATGTTTGTGGCTGACTAAACATTTGGCTGAACAGAATTAAGAGGCATCGTCTTCATGTGCACAGGTTTGCTATGTGGTTGATTTTCATTAGCATGTATGAACAAGTCAAGTAGTTCATGGAGCTATATTGGATGGGTCACAACTAATATGAAATTTGCCTGTAAAAGCTTGGAAACACTTGCCACAGTAGTCTTTTTATTTTTATTGTTTTGTGTATTTTGATGGATTAACCGGGTCTTAGAGCCCCTCTCACTAACTTTGAATTCTACGCTAGACGTCTTTCCATAAAATATTCATAACAAATATTTACTTGACTAAACATCTAAAGGAAATTGTATGCACTATATTTGAAATTCATCTTTTGAGTTTGTATTATTTAGAAGGATAGCAAAAGTGATTTTGAATAGGGTAGGATTAGGTAGGGAAATGTTTAGTTTTCTGTTAAAGGAATGGTGGTTAAAGACTCAACGAAGTTCAGGAAATGAGGACCAACGTCGTGAACTGATCAACCTTCCTGGCAACCCGCTTTAATTGCAGCTTTTACCTTAACTGTATACAGTATTGGTATGTGGAAGACGTTCCTCCTATTATCAGTTAATTTAGAGCAAAAGTTATTTGAATTACATAATTGTTATCAATAACTATTGTTTGTCAATTCTATTTTGTGCACTGGGTTACTGTTAATATCTTGTTCTTTTGCTTGTTAATTTACTGTAATTATATTTTGGTACTGTTGGAGCCAGTAATGTGTAATCTCTATACAGTTGCCACCCTGTACAAAACAGAAAATTTAAAGGACATAGCTTTGCTGATATATATATATATATATATATATATATATATATATATATATATATATATATATATATATATATATATATATATATATATATATATATATATATATATATATATATATATAATTTTTTTTTTTTTGAGAAAGAGTGGATGTACACTCCAGTGAACATGGGAAAATATGTGATGAATAAGGAATATAGGTGGGGGGGGGGGAGTAAGCAGTTTCTCTAGTTACAGGGTAGACTTCAGTGACTGGAAGTTACGGCATCAAATTCCAGAGCCCGAAACCAACATTTTAGTTACGCTGGTTAGTAAAGGCATCAATGTGATTGAGGCATATTCTTATATGAATTACATTACAGTAGTATTTAATTTGTATATTCAGTTGTATCATATTGAGACTTAAGGAACGTTGTATCGTAGCTTTCTAAAGATAGACATTTTCCGATTTCAGAAGATGCATACATCTAATATCTCTACCCATAGTGCAAGTGAACATCAGTGTTTAAAGTGTATGAGTGTAGATTATAGTTTTGTTGGACCCTTTTTTCCTTATTCATTTCAATAAACTCATCACTAATGCCTGTGTTGCTTGAAAATCTTCTTATTGATAAATGTTGAGTGATACAAAGTTTCATATTTTAAGTATTATAGTGACATGGATATTTCTCTTAATGTGGTCTTTTCTTCCTGTTAATTGGTAACAATATTTGTTCTAACTATATATCACAATAACATACTTCATTGTTAGTCTTTGGAATGTTGGAATGGTACATACTGTACTCCTAACTTGTAATAGTGGATTAGTTTAATAGCTGGAACATATTTGCTGTCTTAAATTATTGATTTGCTGAGTGGGTTGCACTGCTGTATGCACAATTTAGAAAGAAGATGGTGGATAGTTATCTAACTGGGTTATGCATTACACAACTACTACTGCTGTAAAGTGTCTGCTTATGTGGGAATGCTAGGTTTGGCAGTTGTTCTTGAATGCAGTACAGGGTATCTGGTTTCTGATACCTGTAGTGGTAAAATTTAGTGCTTGACTTCATTTAAAATTACTGATTATATTTTGTCTGTCAAAAGTTTACATTCGAATGCTAACAGTGGAATGGTTTTTGTAGCTTTTGTATTTCTGCTGAACATTGAATGTCCAACACACGCTAGGGTTCCAGTACAAAGTGTACAGTACAGTATAGGAATATGCTATGACTTGTGTATTAACCAGTTGGTTAGCTTTGCCCCTCACCTCTGCCTGTCTCTGTGATATATGAATGTGTGTATATTTTGCAATGCACAGTATAATCATATTCTGTTTGGGGAATGGTGAAATTCTAACTAGCTATGATAGTGTGCATTTCCATGTGATCTTCACTCTCCCTTGTTCAATTTGTACAAGTGTTGATAAATGAGTGGCTTGTATGCTGTGCTTGTTAACTGTTCTTGTGTGAATTTTGCCAATAATCTCTACTAGAATATTATTTACTCGAACATGTTTGCAGTAAAATATGCTTTAAACTTGACAAAATGTATTTGTTACTACAATTCTTTAACAAACCATGTGTTATGATACACAGTTCTGTTGCTTATATATGTATAGTGTGTATGTGATGTTTTTGTATGAACTTTTACATCCTGTAATCTTGGCTGAATTGAGTGAAATATTGATATACTGATTATGTAAATGAGATATACTATCCTTAGATTAAGATGCATCTTGTAAACTTGGAGGAACTGGAACCTTGCATTAATGTGTTTGGATTCATTATCTGGGCTCATTAATTCAAGTGTCGGTCACTCTCTTATAAACCTAATTGGATTATAAGGAGAGTGGGAAAGAGGGTGGGACCTTTCCTCCAAGTAAAATTTTTTTTTTGTTATATTCAAATAATGTAGAATGCCATGAGTGTGTAATGCTGATTTTGAAGATGGATCCAAAGCCAAAGAACAACCCTAAGAAGGTTAGTTCTTTTATTAGAAATTCTAAATTAATTTTCATGTTACTACTAATTGCTGATTAAATGTAAATCATAAAGCAGTCATAAGGGATGGTGGTTGTAATGTCATTGCTGTACTATATGCTGTATTCAGTAGGTGTTATTTTTAATTGGAGTTGCATCTAGTGCTGTGTGAGCATATTTTTGTCATTAACATTGACCATCTAACAATTTTAAATTCTTAAATTATTTGCAGGAACATGAGACCAGAAGTTTAGTCAGCATTTTCGAGAATGGTTCCTGGGAGCTAAATTTATGCAGTACCAGAAGTCAACTAGGAAATAGGGCACTTGATTCATCTGGGGCTGTGATAGGACTTGGTGGAAATATCAGATACTGCAGTGCTTTGAAGATTGGATATCTCTTCATCTTCATCTCTCGTGGAAGGAGTTCGGGTGTTGCCTACGATTGTATTTTAACTTAAGGTTTGTATTGGCAATTTATTTGTGGGCGTTTATTAAAATTAATTTGTATTTTATATTAATATTGTAGTTGAGAATATTAATCAACAATAACTTTGTTGTATGCAGTACAGTATGAAATCATTACTTTCAGGTTTGGTTGCTGCTCAGTGGAGACCCTGCTGAGTATCCTGGAGTCTTTAAAAACAGTCGTTGTAGTCATGAAGGCGTAGTTGCAGGCTGCCCTGTTAAGTCGTGTTGATGGATACTGTAATGGGAGATGAGTGCAGTTGAAGGTAGCAGTGGGACCTATGTGCAGCATCAAAGACAGCACTGTCCTGAGTATGATTGAAGGCGACACTGGGGCATGTGGTCGTGACGGATGGCAGTGCTGGGATGTGCGGTTGTGACTGATGGCAGCGCTAGGACGTGGTAATGACCGATGGCACCGCCGGGACGTGGTTATGACCGATGGCACCGCTGGGACGTGGTTATGACCGAGGGCACCGCTGGGACGTGGTTATGACCGAGGGCACCGCTGGGACGTGGTTATGACCGATGGCACCGCTGGGACGTGGTTATGACCGATGGCATCGTTGGGACGTGCGGTTGTGACTAATGGTAGCACTGGGACGTGAAGTTGTGACTGGTGGTGGACGTGCGAGAATAGTCGGATGTAGCGCTAAGACTGGTTAGTGCTGAGCAGCAGGACTGGGACGTAAATGGGTCGGCGACCGGGCTGGGAAGTGGGACGTAGAAGTGGGTCAGACGTAGAAGTGGGTCGGATGCCGTGCTGGGACATCAAAGTGTGAGCCTGGATGACGGTTGGAACACAGGGACAGAGGGGGTGCATTTTACTTGTTTACTGGGGTATGGTGCTCTGGCTTTTTAAATTTCTCTATAGTTAGGAGGTACTGTATAATATAAAAATATTCACCACTAAGGATTTTTGTAAAGACAGTGTGCTGTAGGCAATGTATATCAATAAAACTTGTGCTCTTTAAAACAATTAGCTACTATAATTTTAATGTTTTGTAGAAGTGAAACTACTCTTTGCTGTCTAGTCTGCACAATTTATAACTTATTGTCAAACGTAAGAATGAAGTGAAGTAACGCCTGCCCTGATTAGTTGGATAGATCAGTAGCTGTAAGTTAAATTAGGCCTAAACCACATGCCAGAGTGACATATCCCTATTAGATACAACATTATGAAGTACCCCTTCTTCCTGAGGTCCAAGGTTGGGACCGTGCGGAGATCTAGTGGGCTGTTGGAGGCCGCGTGTGGAAGCTACTAAGGGGCATCAATGACTACTGAGAAACCAGTGGAGGAGTTAGAAAGCCGCGTCGGGGAGTTTTGGTGACCAGACAAAGAGGCCATATAACTGCGGAGTAAGTCGAAGCCACTAAGGAGCTGAAGTGGTTGTCTGAAATCATGCTGGGAGCAACAGTTGCAGCGAAAGAGACCACTGAAGAACTGTGGTAGCTGTCAGCAGCCTGCAGTGGTGGCCAGATGATGTGCTGAAGTTCGGGTGTTGCTGCTCTTCAAGTTAAAGGTGAGTTATTATGAATACTTTGCTAACTAATACTGTATTAATGCTGCGTAGTCTTGTGTGTGTATACAGTGTAAAATATGTCTGCTAAGGTTTGAAGATTTTGAACTGATAATTTGTCTTGTTTTCAGGGAGTTTGTTGTATGCATGGATATTGGTATGTCGTCAAGTTTGTCATCCAGCACTTGGTTTGCAAAGGAGTGTTGAGACTGAATCATCACTTCAGGTTGAAATAGGATCCTCAGGATGTGCAGTTTTGCTGCAGGGACTTAGATTATGCTGGTGTGTTCACAAATTTAGAGGAAATACTGTACTGTGGGATTTTTCACCCAATTTTGTCAGTGGAATTGTCAGCTTGCTACATACAGATCAAGTTGTCAAACAAGACTTGTACTATGAACATCAGCAAAACGATGCCATTGAAAGGTTGGTTTACTTTGGCAAAGTTTTTTTTAACATTTTGGCAAAAATTTTCTTTTTAAAAAACTATGGAATAATTTGAATGATGAACTCACTTATAATTATTGGTAATAGTTTAAGCTTGCAAACTATATATTTTTTCAATGCATTTTCTTTTGTTTCAGATACATTTGAATGTGTGGCGAGACATTTTGGCTGTGGACGGCAGGTCAGCATTTGTTCGTAGGAGTTATAAAAAAGTATTTGTAGACTTGCCATTCTGTTCTGGGAAAAAATTAATGCATGTTATACAAGTATTGGAATTGGGAACAGGAAGATTTTTTGTGAAAAATATCAAGAAAGAACAAGATGCTCCTGGACAGGTCAGGCTCTAGAACTTCTTATGCATGTGATGAATTACTGTACTATCTATCATTCTGGTGTCCGGGAGCAGTAGTTTTGTATCTTTGTACTTGAGTACTGTAGTTCCTTCAGTCTTTGACCTTGACTACTGCACAACTCATGACCATACACAGAACATTGACAGAAAAAAAACACAAAGTAGATAAATTTGAGAAAAAAGAAGAATGTAAAAAAAAAATAGCCATACTGTATATCAAAATGTAAAACTGAAAACCACTGCCTTGGATACAATCTTTTGAATGCAATAGATACCATTTTACATGGTATTTATAAGTTAGAAAATACCACTTCTTATGGATTTGCCGCTAATTGCAGTGCTCATTGCTAATATTTTCTGGGTAAAAAACTTGAATTGGACCAACCATTGTGCAGATACATATTTTGGATCTTAAGAGGACTAAAATTTTATATGGATACACTGTACCATGCTGCAGATGAATATCTTCGGTCTTACGAGGGAAAAGATCTTCCTGTTGAGGATAAGTATCTTGATTGTTAGTGAAACAAAGGATATACTATATTGCTTCTTGCAATGTCATTTAAAAGTGATTTTACATGCTAATTACAGACATCTTCATTGTTTAAAGAAAGAATGGATTGATATGCTACTTTTAAGATTTTGATAGTGAAGAAGGAATGGATACACCTACAAACTGCTTCCAGATCAGTGATGGATATATTAACTGCTTAAAATCTCGTGATCAGTGAAAGTGAGTACAGTACTGTTCACTTGCAGTGTATGAAATGCTTAATTTTTTAAGACTAACATGTTCCAAGTAGAGAAAGTACCAAATCTAACTTAATTGAAAATTTAGATTTGTGAAGACTGTAAGTAACAGTGGAAATGAATGAGAATAATTTATAGATTTACATGATAGAAGATCCCATATGAAATGGCAGTCTTGCCTTGGTACAGTATCGTGTTTAACCCACCCAGTGCAAATGACCAGCAAACAAAAACCTTTAAAACCAATCTGTGTAACTGACCAACAAAACTTTTGCATACTATAAATGGTTAATTCAAGAAGACTTAAGTTAAAAGAGAAGTAAAGTTAAATGTGCAAGGATTATCTCCATGGAATTTCAAATTGCAGTACCTGTACTGTATAGAGGAAAGTTATTTTATATTGAAACCTGTAGACCCTAAGGTTAACGAAGATTAAGTGAAAGGATAAACACAGTTCTAGGAAATATTAAAGAACATTCTAACTGACTACAGGAACAATGACTGACAATATTCTAAAGTGAACTTGTGGACCAGTAAGTAAAAAGTCACACTTGGTGAGTAAATTGGCTTTATTACTAATGAATTGCATACTCTTGAATATCTATACATAGTTGGTATTCTTGTAAGTAAATTAATATTTGAAAGAAGAATATCTTTATTACTGAAGTCTGACAATGACGAAAAGTCAGGAAAATAAGCATGGAAACTAGACTGATTCATGGTAAATGATAAAACAACAGTACCAATATATTGAATGTTTAAGGCTCCATACTGAAGTAAATGAGCAGGTCCTAAGTAGTTGAATACTACAGCATTGTGGAAGTAAACATAATGAATATGATGCTAAAGTTACAGTTTTTCTGAAGTAACCACCGTTTGAGAAGTAACCATACTTAAATATGATGTGAAAGTTACACCGTTTGACAAGTAACTATGGCAGTTTCAACGGAATTGTCTTAAGTGAATATTCAAGCCAATTAAAATTAGCTCCCTTGAATATGGAACAAAACCTACACCAGTCGAGAAGGAAGATGAAAGGTACACCATGGAAAGAATATATCTGCATAAGCACCAAAATAAATGGCGAATTGAGAAATTTTTGAAGGTCGTCTTGCGGGACAGATCAACAACTTGAAGAATAATACATTATAACTAAAGGCAAGGTTATTTTTGTTATTGTAAATAGAACTTATGTATTGCTAGCCAATTAAGGATAATTTGTAAAGTATGGTAAGATGTTTGAGAATAACATGAATTTGTCATCAAATATTAGAGAATAGGTATTGTACATGAATTTGTCATCAAATATTAGAGAATAGTCATTGTAAATTTATTCACTGCATGAAGTGGATGGGTATGGTAAACGCCACAGGTGCAGGAAGATGATGGGCATGGTCGCCTACACAGGTGCAGGAAGAGGATGGGCATGGCTGACGACACCAGTGCAGGAAGAGGATGGGCATGGTCGCCTACACTGGTGCAGGAAGAGGATGGGCATGGTCGTCTACACAGGTGCAGGAAGAGGCTGGGCATGGTCGACGACACAGGTGCAGGAAGAGGATGGGCATGGTCGTCTACACAGGTGCAGGAAGAGGATGTGGGCATGGTCGTCTACACTGGTGCAGGAAGAGGTTGGGCATGGTCATCTACACAGGTGCAGGAAAGAGGATGGGCATGGTCGGTGGCCTACACAGGTGCAGGAAGAGGATGGGCATGGCTGACACCAGTGCAGGAAGAGGATGGGCATGGTCGTCTACACAGGTGCAGGAAGGGGCTGGGCATGGTCGACGACACAGGTGCAGGAGAGGATGGGCATGGTCGTCTACACAGGTGCAGGAAGAGGATGGGCATGGTCGTCTACAGGTGCAGGAAGAGGATGGGCATGGTTGTCTACACAGGTGCAGGAAGAGGATGGGCATGGTCGTCTACACAGGTGCAGGAAGAGGCTGGGCATGGTCGACGACACAGGTGCAGGAAGAGGATGGGCATGGTCGTCTACACAGGTGCAGGAAGAGGATGGGCATGGTCGTCTACACAGGTGCAGGAAGAGGATGGGCATGGTTGTCTACACAGGTGCAGGAAGAGGATGGGCATGGTCGTCTACACAGGTGCAGGAAGAGGATGGGCATGGTCGTCTACACAGGTGAAGGAAGAGGATGGGCATGGTGGTCTTCACAGGTGCTGACGAGGGAAGGATGTACAAGAGGATGGGCATGGTCGCCGTTGGGACGTTGTTGATGAGGTGCAAGAGGACGGGCAGGTCGTCGTCGTCGATGGAAGCACAAGAGGGTGGGCACGGTCGTGATGGAGGTACAAGAGGACGGTCATTGTCGTTGATGGGGGAAAGGAGAATGGTCAACTTCAAGAATTCAAGACCCCAGAGGAAGTATAAGGCTGGATGCAGATGTCTTTGGTGAGAGGACATATGTGGTTGTCTTAGATAGTGGATGTAAAGTCATCAGGCAGGAACTACTAGGATGGGCCTCCACTTTAATAGGTGTAAAAAAAGGTGAGGGTAGTGTGGTTGGTTGATTTAGGCACTTTCATTTAACATCAGGATTTCAAGAGATTGGCCTTGGTTTGAAGAGGAAAATTGGTTCAGGTTTATCAAGAAGATATTGAAGACCCTGTACAAAGCTGTAAGGAGATGAAGAAGGATCCCATTATGATAGCCAGGTGGATTACAGTATAATTTCACAGGGAAGTGAAAAAGATAGATTTTATCACTGGCCACTGATTATTAAGGTGGAGAGAGTAGATTTTGCTAGGGAGAAGAATATGTGCTAGGCATTAATTATCAGGAGGCAAGGGAGAGTAATAGCAATAACACTCAGGAGGTAAGCAAGAGTGGAGGAATTTGTCCACAGGATTGGGGAAAGGAGGAAAAGGGTTAAATGTTCATCTCGGTAAGGAATGAATTGAAGATAAATATGCACTCTTCAAGAGCAGGGGCTTCATCGCCCTGTCATCACAAAACAGAAGAGGATGGTTATTCACAGTAGCCTTCAGTCATCACAAATCTCAAGTTATAAATGAAGAGGATGGACTTGAGCATATTCAGCCTTGAAGTACAACAGTAAAGGAAGGCCTTAGTCATTGAGAGATATAAGAAGATGGACTTTGACAGAAGTATGTCTTCAGTGCCAGGAGGATAGAGAGGTGTTGGTTATCCCCACGTTATGAGAAGAGGATTGTCAAGTACTGCACTGCTTGCAAATAATGAGATTCACCCACCAACTTGACGGTCGTGGACGGTCCTTCAGGAGTGTCCTAGACAATCAAATCTCTCTTATTCCAGAGAGACAACTGGTGCTACAGTACAAGACCACTCAAGGTAAGGTGTTTGTATCATTTCAGTTTTATGTGGTAAGTATAAAATTGTATTTTCTGAGGATCTACTTTTTTTTTTACTCCTTGGTAATCATAATGTTTGTTTTGTGTGAATGTGTTTCATAATTTCACTACAGAGTTATCTTAATGATTCAGGCATTGGTAAGTGTCGCTCAGAGTTCACTAAGCAAAATTCTTCCATTCATATTCACCAATACTAGATATCCCTATCAATTATAGTACGTACATGTATTCAGTTTTTAGATGTCAACCCTATCAATTATTCAGTTTTTAGATGTCATGAATAGATTCTAAAAGGCAATATTCTTTCACCCAAATTCACCAATTCCAGGTTCCCCCTTTTTGGCTTGATTGTTGAGACTGGGTGGAGCGAGCCTGGGACAGTTGTGACATGGCCGAGCAAGGCAGGGACTGAGACAGGAAAGCCATGGGGCAGGGCCAGATGAAGAAACAGTCATTCGTAGGCAATACAGAGCAGACAACTCTGGGGGCCGTGTGTGGATTGGACCCACTGTAGATGCGCACTTTGTGGAGGAGAGAAGATAAACAGTGGGAAAAGAAGCTACTACCCTAACCAGATCAGATGGACGTTACAAAGCCTCAATCTTTTCGAACTAGGGCACTAGGACGAATTTTAGGTTACGTAAATATTCTATCTATTTAGAGCGTATTCATGAGAAGTAATTTTCCATAAAGTATTTTTATGTTCTGGTATACTGAGTAGTGAAATTGCGAAGTTCATATATTGAAATGATTTTTCATGATCTCAAACTGAAGTGGTTATTACTGAAGATAGTTCGTCAAAAATTAATCGCGTCCCGTTGACGTCCACATCAACTCCACCTTGTCCCTCGGCTCAGCTGCAACAGGAAGTCGTCAGAGGAATCTGATGACCGCCTTCTTAAAATCCACGCTCTGGTAATATCCAGGTCAGGTTACAGTATTCGAAGCTGTAGTGATTCTTCAGGTCTTCTCTTAGGACAGGATGTTTGGTACACCACAACTTTGAAAATGTTCCACGGCATCACCTCGGCCAGTTGCACTTTCAGAGGATCGTCTTCATATGTCTTGCATCTGAGTTTGTTCTACCCATTCTCCCATGAAAAGGTCGTGGCTCATCACATCTATCACTTCTGCACATCAGTAATCACTACTATATCAACACAGTTACTGTGTATTTCATCATCAACCTTTGCTACAGTGGCTTCACAACTTTAACAAAGCTGCTGTGTGTATATCACATCTACAACTTCATTATAACGGCTGTGTGTGTATGTGCTATCTGCTGTGTACGTCATCACATCCGCTGTGTACGTCATCACATCCCCATCTATATAGCTGCTGTGTTTCTTCACTACTACAACTACATTGTTGCTGGTTGCATGTCAACACAAAATGTCACCACTGATGAATGTCTTCACTTCTAGCTCTGACATTACTGATGAATTTTATGAATGTTTGATTAAGGTTAATTTGTTTTACCAGTCGGTGCTGTTTCAGATGGCTGAAACAATTTATGAATAAAATTATATCATAATTGCGTATTTTATAATTACCTATTAATAGTGTATTGAAATGAATATTTGAAATTTACTCTAGAATGGGATTAAATATTTAATTAGATTATATACAGTACTTCTATTCCCTGGACCTAGAATTACAATTTACTATACGTGAGACAACACAGTAGTTTTAAAAATCTTTGCAAGAAACGTGGCTTAAAATTCTTAGACGGTGAAATATAATTGCATTTTATTTACTGTTATTTCAAACCTTAGAACCCTCCGTGGAATGCAGTCGAGTTTTTAATTAATTAAATAGTGTTAGTGTTACAAGGCTGTTGTGCTGTTTGCAAATTTGAGCTGTGTACAAAAGACCAGCAACAGGAAAGAGATTGGAATAGGGTGAAACTAGAGCCTGGAGATTCGTTCAACTATCTTGCATGGACGAAGAAACATTACTATAACTCACTGGTAACTCCATTCATCGAGCACCAAGACTCGTGTATGCAAAAATCAATAACACCACATGGACGAATTCCAGCAACTGCAGATCCTGGCAACAGGTAGTGTATATGAAGATTTAAAGTTTTCTGTTGCCACCTTTACTGTAATTACAAACATCCTTCACAAGCCACAAAATATTTCTAGGCACTCGAGTTCCTGTAGTCCTCTGACATATGGACCTGTAAAGTTTGAATGAAGAATTTTACAATTCCTGGTAATGTCCAGTGTGGAGTAGGATAATCCCAGGGTGAACTTTTTCGGCAATATGGCGATAATAAAAAAATAAAGGACTTGCAAAACGTAACACTGTAAGTAAAAAACGTGCCACGCAACAAATTCGTGCTGTCAGAATTTTTAATTAAACTTATTTGAATAGACAAGTCTTTACTCATTTATTTATAAATGCAGTAACCGAAAATTCAAAATATTTTGCATTTAAAGATTCGCTTTTCATTACTTATCTGTTCTTTGGTAACATTGAAACATGTTAAAAAATAAAACTTTTTTACTAAAAAGAAAATTGGCTGCAATCCAGAGTTTGTTTATGTACAATGAAAATTTTTACTTAAACGTCTCCACTACCGCCTGGGAAGATAATGTGTATAATGTGTTGTCTAGTGGTAGACCCTGTTGCCATATGGCATCACAAAAATTGTGATCAAGTCCCAGGTTGCTGATCTGACTTTCTGCCTCATTTCCACATAACTGTAGGTCTCAGTTGTTTCTCTTACTTTGACAACACAACATACATAATGTATATCGTTTCTCACTCTTGATTCATTTGTTTTCGTTTTGTATTTATTTATGGTTATTATTTTTAGTATTTTATTTATATTTTTAGTATTTTAGTATTTTTTATTAATTATAATAATAATAATAGTTATTATTATTCTTACTACATTTCGCCCCCCCCCCCCCACCCCAGGCCCTTGTGGGTCAGTGACCTGTGTCCGGGTGGACTAATTGAGTAGTGTGAGTTGTGTAGTGTGGCGGTCGCAGTGTGTGTGCAACGATGTTATTTGGTTATAGTGAGAAACCCCAATGACAAATGTGTCCCATACTTACATTTAGGTGATCTAGTAAATAACTTATGTGATTGAGAAAGCTTACAAAATTCGTGGATTTTAACAAGGTCCCGATAAAGTGTTAATTGAAACCTTCAGCGTATCTGAACGTATCTTCCAGTTGAAGTTGGCGAGGAATACATGATGATACGATACATCAACATTACTTTATGTCCAAGGTGTTTTGATGGGAACTGGATGTGATTATGGATACTGTTCAAATTAAATTAGGTAAGGTGATTGATTCTTTTTGTTTTTTTACAGACATGTGAAAAATCCCTGGATTCTTGAATATTTTGCATTAGGAAATGACCATGAAATTGATGTAGATTTCTTAGAAAATATGTTGAGGGGGTGGATTATCCATATAATTTTTTTTTTTACGGGGAATAGCCCATCTGGGCACAGGTCATCAACCCACAACGGGGCCTAGGGGGGCGAAAAAATAAATTAAAAATAGAAAAGAAGAAACTATATTAATCTACACTACTAAGATGCCGGAAAACCAGCTTTTTGAAGTGAGACAATGTAAGAGTATGGATATACAGAGAAAGGCAGAGCATTCCACAGCTTGGCTGTGTAGGGAAAGAAGGATGTACTATAACGGGTAATTCTAGGAATCTAGTGTAACCGATATCCACAGTAATTTCCACACAGAAACGGTGGGCACCGCGGGCAAGACGAGTGTTACGAGCCCACGGCCCTGCCGGCGGTACACAGGATGCCAAATCTACCGAACATTGCCCGTTAAAGTACCTGTAAAAGAGAGAGTGAAGCAACATTGCAGAGAAGAGAAAGGTATGAAAGAGTATCAACTAAAGGAGGAGAGTTAATAACACGAAATGCCATTGATTCCACTCTATCTAACAGTAGTAGTAGTAGTGGTAGTGGTGGTAAGAAAGGCGAGATCGAACACTCATTCATGGGAGGACGGGAAATTTTTTTGGGGGTATAGGGTCTGTTATATAGCGCAGATGCTCTTTCTTTTATTATGTAATTTTTTTCAGGTAAATTCTCTGTTGTTTATTAAATACTCTGGCGACATGAAGTAAATGCCAAGAAAGAGGATTTGGTTCCCTGTATAGATGTAAATAGTTTTGGTTATATTATGTGGTTTTGTTGGGTCCGTTTTTACATTATATCGCACTACTTTTAACTTAAAACATAGATAGTGTGCGCCAGCAGTGGTTCTAATTTAAATTGATTAGGATTAATAAAGGTACTGTAGTACATGGCATGACAAGCGCGGTCTAGTTGCTGCTAACCCAACAGGAGCAAACATACCTACCAGCGTCGTGGTAATTTGATCAGAGACTGTCACTTGGTTCTCGGAAGCTTTTGCCTGACTAAATCAGCCGATGGCCCTAGACCAAAGACTATATAGTCTTTGCCCTAAACCATCATTACCTCGTATCAAACATGCCAACCCTGCGGATTTCCTCACAGGATATTTCTATCCCACTTTCACAATTCCTTCGTTGACCATTGTTCTCGCCACCTCAACAATACTGTATGCTCTTTTGAAGCTCTCTTATTCCATCATTATTGGTGAATACTGACTCCATGGAAGAAAAGTTTTCTGATGTGCAGAGAGTTAATGGTCAGTGATCTTTAATCACCAGTGTCTTGAAATATATATTATGTTTTAAAACATCATACGGCATATATCTCTAGCATCACATTCTTCATACAATGCTGTGACAAAATACGGGCGACATCGACAGTTTCTCGGCTATTCAAAAATTAATGCACTCTAATTTTATTCAGTTTGAACATCTGGCTCGTAATAATTGAAATGTAACAGTAATATGTATAAAGAAAATCGCAAATACTGTACTTGTAATCTTTTTTTTTTTTACGGGGATGAGCCAACCCAGGCACAGGTCACTGACCCACATTGGGGCCTTGGGGGGGGGCGAAAATGTAATAATAATTATTATTATTCATAGTAAATTAAATTTATAATAAAAATATAATAATAATAATAATAATAAGAGCCATAAAGAAATACAAAAAAAAAGATCAAAAGTGAGAAACAATACATGTATGTTGTGTTGTCAATAGTAGCCTAAGAGAAGCAATTGAGACCCTGCAATTGTGTGTAAATGAGGTAGAAAGTCAGATGAGCAACCTGGGACTCGGTCACAATTTTCGTGATGCCATATGGCAGCAGGGTCTACCGTTAGACAACACATTATGCTTCCAATATCTTCCCAGGTCGTATCTCCCTGTTTGGTAGCTGCCTACTACCTACTACCATTGCACTTACAGTGCAAGAGAACTATAAACGACTACCACGAAATATACAAAAGTCTTTCACAATTGCAATTGTAGTATAATGCCCTTCTTTTACATATTTATTTAAATTTCTTGTATAATATGTGGCTCCATACATTTTCATCAATATCGTTAATTCAGCTTACAAACTGGGTAATTAGGTCCAAAGGTATATTATTGTATACTCCAATGAGAACCTTTTAACATTCTGAATGTATGCCTTTTATGACTTGTTGCCTGTCTTCCAGCCATTGTTAAATCAATTCAATATATTTTCCTCAGTGCCAAATACCTGCAGGATCTTACAGGCTAGCCATGCATGTGGAACTTTGTCAAACGCCTTAAAGAAATTAATGTACTACTACACAACACAAGCTATCGTTCACAGTCTTTGAAACAGTGTTGAGATGCTTTGATAATACTGTGCTCGGTTAGGTGTTGGGTGATAATAGCATCTTCAAAACATTCTCGGTGAGTTTTAATTTGCATATACTGTACTGTATGTGGTCACTAGGCCAGCTGGCTAGTCCAGATTAACTGAAGTCTGGACAATTGAGTCACTCCATTAGCTGCTTTCTTTAGCAGTGTGTTCACCCCAGAACCAGACACAATAACACTGACAGTAACAGGAAATGACTTCCTTCAACCCATAGCCACACTGTAAGGTACAGAAGAAGAGGTCAGATTCAGATTCAGATTTGCCCCCGAGGGGGCTAGTTTATTGGGCACCCCCTTACATCCTGTGCAAGGTGAAGCGCAGAAGCGTTTACAGCGCCCAACAGGGAAGTATGAAAAGTTCATACTTGCCTTTATGACTCGTACATTAAGGGCGTAAAAGCCTGAAGGGTCATAGGTTTTGTCAAGTTACATAAAGTGAGAGAATGATGAGTGTGTGGGGGGAAAGCTCCCGGTACATTTTATCTGTTTATGGCAAAGAGTGGCAGGTCCCTAATAATGTCAAATGCCAGGCCTGTGACTAGGAGGAGGGATATCTGGTCTGGGAGGGAAGAGGTGTTGGTAACGGCTGGGGACCTATAGGAGGAGGTCATAGGGCAAGTGAGGATGTAGTGAGAGAGGGTGTGAGAGTCGGGATGGCCACAAAGTTTACAAACAGTGCGGTGAGGCTCAGGGTTGCCAATGTACTCCCATAGGTACCTGTACCCTAGGCGCAGTCTCATGTATATAAGCTG